CCTGTGCCTTGCTGGGCCTGGAGCAGCCAGTGCTGAGGCCTTTTTCTCCTCTTTTGCACCAGGACAACACCCAAGTGCAGCTGCTCTCCGTTCGCCTCTCCCAGGAGGTCATGGAGTTGCTTGTGGAAGAGGGAACAAATACGCAGGTGCATCACAGCCTCGTGCCACTGTTCTTCCGCTGGCACAATGAGAACCAGTGCGTGGCAGAGGTGAGCACTGGTGGGCTCTGGTGTTCCCGTGACAGGGGGCTCGGCTGTCTCCTGAAGACTCCTCCTGGCTTTGGCCCAGGGATACATGTCCTGTGCCCTGGGCTGTGCTGCCATGTCCTGGTTTCTGCTGCTCTGCAGGCCTCTCAGGGATGCTAGGTATCTACTAAAGCATCTCCCTCACTCCCCTCTGCAACTGGATAGAGCAGAGAAAATCCAACAAAGGATTCAGGAGTTAAGAGCTGAGAGAGATCGCTTACTGATCACCAGTATGGGCAAAACAGACTCAAAGTGGAGATATTAACTAAATTTATTACTAACACGATCTGAGCAATAGAGTGAGAAGAAAAAAATACCTAAAACCACCTTCCCCCCACCCCTCCTTCCTTCCAAATTCTACCTCCTCTTTCCCCCAGCAGTGCAGGGAGACAGGGAATGGATCTTACAGTCAGTTGTTGTTTCTGCTGCTGCTCAGGGAGAGGACTCTTTCCCCTGCTTCATGTGGGGTCCCTCCCACAGCAAACACTCCTTCAGGAACCTCTGCAGCATGAGTCCATCCCACGGGCAACAATTCTTCACAAAACTGCTGCCACGCGGATCCCATTTCCACGGAGTGCAGTCCTTCAGGAACAAGCTACTCCAGCTTGGGTCACCCACAGGGCCACAAGTCCTGCCAGGGAAACCTGCTCCAGCACGGGCTCTTCTCTCCATGGGCTGCAGGCCCCTGAATAGACCCTGCTCCAGCATGGGCCTCCCACAGGGTCACAGCCTCCTTTGGGCATCCACCCGCTCTGTTGTGGCTCCTCCATGGGCGGCAGGTGGATCTCTGCAGCCTGCTTCTTCTCCATGGGTTGCAGAGGCACAGCTGCTTCACCATGGTCTGCACCAGGGGCTGCAGGGGAACCTCAGCTCTGGTGCCTGGAGCACCTCCTGCCCCTCCTTCTGCACTGACTTTGGGGTCTACCTTGTTGTTCCCATCTTCTCAATCTGCTCTTCCCTGCCTGAAATTTTCATCTGTGCAATAACTTTCTTTCCTTGCTTAAATATGTTATCATGGAGGCATTACTATTGTTACTGATTGGCTCAGCCTTCTCCAGCAGCAGATCCATCGTGGAGCTGGCTGGCATTGGCGCTGCCAAACGTGGGGAAACTTCTAGCAGCTTCTAACAGAGGCCAGCCCCATAGTCCCCCTGCTAACAAGATCTGGCCACAGGAACCCAACACAGCCCCCAATTTAGATTTGTCAAGGAGAAAGATGTTCCCAATCAGAAGCAAGTAAGCAGCCAGTGGCAACAGCTGGAATCCCCTAGGGGTCTTGTGGCACCTCAAGCTGCATCTGCTGGTCCCCTAAGCCTTTCAGGCCAGCACACTATGAAGGGAAGGAAAGCATTTCTCAGGAGAAGCTGGGCAACTTGCTCACTCTGGCAGCTCTCCAACTCTCCCCCATTTCCCCTCCAGGTGCCGGCCATCGTGAGGTACATCCACCAGTGCCTCACGTTCCATGTGTCTCCAGATGTCAGCCTCCACACTAACATTCTCAGCCTGGTTGGTGCACACCCACATGACAT